CAAAAGTGTTTAAAATTGAAACTTGGAGGTGAACGTTGTTCACTTTGAAACAAGGGGAACCAAACATGAAATTAGGCTGAACACTGAACACGAGCGACTAAAAGTGTAATTCTCCTACTTATTTGTATAGATTAATGATTGCAAAATTACCCAAGTGCTTTCCACTAAATCTAGCATATTATGGACTGGTTAATCCAATTTAATAATGATGCCCAAATTGGAGAGACCAAACTACGTTCATGTCACTTGTCAGTATATAATAAAGGATAAATTCCACTTTACCTCTTGTACTTTGGTTGGATATCACTTTATCCCATTATGCTTTTAATTGCATTGATTTGCTTCCTTGTACTTTGGTTCGATATCACTTTACCCCTTCTACTCTCAATTCATCGATTTGCCGCCTTATACTTTGGCTCGATATCATTTTACCTCATTCTACTCTCAATTGCATCGATTTGCCCCCCTTACTTGAAAAATTGTCTCAATGTGGCCCTCGCCGTTACTTTTCAGATATTTGACCTTAGCACCATTTGATTTAAGTATTAAAATTACTAAAATTTCACCCCTCTAGTTTAAATAATTATTAAAAAAATTAAAAAAAATAAAAATAAAAAACAACAAAAAATAAAATAATAAAAAAAATAAGACAGCGAGAAAAACATAGTCCACGACGCGCCACAATTTTTTATTATTTTTTTTGTTTTATTAATAATTATTTAAACTGGGAGGGGTGGTTTTTTTGTAATTTCTAAACTTAGATAAAACGGTGTTAAGGTCTAAGGTCTGAAAACTAACGGCGATGGCCATATTGAAAAAAAAATTCAAGTACAGGGGGCAAATCGATGCAATTGAGAGTAAAATGTGGTAAAGTGATATCGAGCCAAAGTACAAGGGGTCAAATCGATGAATTGAGAGTACAAGGGCGTAAAGTGATATCGAACCAAAGTACAAGGGGGGCAAATCGATGAATTGAGAGTAGACGGGGTAAAGTGATATCGAACCAAAGTACAAGGGGGCAAATCGATGTAAGTGAGAGTACAAGAGGGTAAAGTGATATCCAACCAAAGTACAAGGGGATAAAGTGGAATTTACTCTATAATAAATATGCAAGACCCACATGTTAATTACACTTTAACACTTCAACTAATTTTTTATACTATTTGATACCCCTTTGGATTTGATTTATTTCAAATTTATGGCTTGGGTCCACTTCAAATTTATGGTGGTACCCAAATTGGCCCAATAAACAATCAAACCCAAACTAATGCATCGGTCGATTTATTTTCGTAATTTACCCTTATTATTGCTTAAGTTAACGAGTAACGACTATGTACTTTTTAATTAATCTACACCACGTTTACTTTGATATATTTAATTTCATAATATTATTTTAAGCATGAATATATGAGAAATTAATAAATAAAGTAAGTTGCTAAAATATTTAAGGGAAAATTACGGTTAACCCCTAAGTAATGTCAAATTACATAAAAGTCCTTTTTGTTTGGGTCATTACAAATTTACAACCGTCATCAAATATGTATTTTCTTACATGTTCGTTTTTACAGTGTCAAAATTACTTACTGAAAGAAGGTTTTTTTTATGAGATATTGCATAGATGAAGAGTGATTGTAATTATTCAAATAAAAAGATTTTTTTTAATTTAATTTTACTTTAGAAGTACTAGTAATTTGCCCAATAATTTAATGATGGTGGAAAAAAAATCATCAACAAATAAAATACATATATATCATTATGGTCAAACTTTTTAGTAAAATCATACAATTTTCTAGAGCTTTCGTAAATCATTTAGTGTAATGAAATCTCAAGAAAATCGTGTATATAATGACACACATCTAAAAAGTGATTAGGTGATAATACAATCTAATTAGCAAGTCACCATTATAGTCAAACTTTATAGTAAAGTCAAATAAATAATCTTCTCGATATTGTCATTAGAAAATCCAATTTCACTTAATCAAATGTCTTTTTATTTTTTTTTTTATTTATTTATTTATATATGTCTTTTTCGATTTTATTTCAAATGTCTTTGACTTGTACATCAACTTTATCAATATCGTATGTAATTAAAATTCAATTTTTTAATTTTTTATTTTTAAAATTCACCTGACCACATTCTAAAACAAAAAACAAAAAAACAAAACAAAAAAAAAAACTAGTGAGTAGTGAGTGATAATTTTCCAGTTTCGCACGTGCCAACGAAGAATAATCGTGCGTGTACCCCCTCCTCCCCTGACACCACGAGCACGTGATGCGACTGTAACAGTAGGGCCCACAAGCCCAGTGGCTGCCCCCCGTAATTATCACCAAACAATATGACCAAATTTTAAACCATCTACTTAACGGCTTTGAAGTTTTTATCTCAGCTTCCCCCCTTTTTTCCGTAACGTCCGCCGGCCGTCTACTTAACGGACGTCTGGCGAGATCTTTTCAACGTCTCCTCCACCTATAAAACCGTCAAGGAAACCCTCATTCCGTTATTTCATCTTTCTGAAAAAGGAAAAAATAAGAGAGAGAAGAGAGAGAGAGAAACACAGAAACACATATTAGGGTTAATTACTTTCTCTCTCTATAGATACAGAAATCTGCGTCGAATTTATCAGTTGCGGCGGTTTCTGATTCGCTTGGTGCAGGTCGGGAACTTTTTTCGTCGACGGCGTGTTTTCCACGTTGAATTTGAAGTGTACGTCAATCGTACGCTGTACGAATACGTCGTCGTGTTTTTGGCGAAAATCAGGTTCCCGCTTTGCATCAACTGAATCGGACACCACCGTGAAATGCAATCGCCCGGCGGCGAAGGATTTCCGACGATCCACTGTTGATTTGGTTGAGGGTGTTGAATTGCATCCGGATCTGACTTTTTATTTTATTTTATTTTATTTTTTAATCTCATTGCTGATTTTTTCTCCAGAGGTTCTGCTTATCAGTTTTTTTTTTGTTGCATCATATGGATTTTTATCTGCTTTCGTGAACAAAAGATGGATTATTTTTTAGATTCCCAAATCGATGTAATGCTTATGCCAGAAAGGGAAATCTGTGTTTGTTGGGATTTGTGCAAAATTGAAGATTTATGTTTCGTTTTCATTTGGTTTTTGATTGATTGGTTCTAGATGTGGAAATGAGTTTATTAGATTGATTGAACATCCTGTGATTCATAAAGTATCCCTTTTTAATTAGGTCAATTTATTTATTTATTTTTATTTAATATGACTTGATAATCTGTTGAGTTATAACTTTGTTTGAATGAGCACTCTGTTTTGCCTCAATTTTTGTCACCATCATATCTTGTTCATGTTTTGCATCTTGGTGGATGCTTAAAGTTTCTACATTGGCAATCGGTTAGTCCGATCTTGATGTAAGTTGAAGATATTTGTATCGATTTATGAAATATTTGTTCGTTTTGCATCTTGGTGGATGCTTAAAGTTTCTACATTGGCGATTGGTTAGTCCAATCTTGATGTAAGTTGAAGATATTTGTATCGATTTATGAAATATTTGTTCGTTTTGCATCTTGGTGGATGCTTAAAGTTTCTACATTGGCGATTGGTTAGTCCAATCTTGATGTAAGTTGAAGATATCTATATGGATTTATGAAATTTTTGTTCATTTTGCATCTTGGTGGATGCTTAAAGTTCTACATTGGCAATCGGTTAGTCCGATCTTGATGTAAGTTGAAGATATTTGTACGGATTTATGAAATCTATGTTCGTGAAGTGTACGGATTTACACGTCATTTTCTAAATTCACTATGTGCGTTGTGGACTTTCCTTATCATTGAGTGCAATTCAAACTGGATGTGGTGTCAATTTACGTAAACGAAATGAATGTTCTTTGACAATCTGCATAAAAGAAGTAGTTTTAATTTTTATTCTTTTGGAAAGGGTTACTTCTATCCAATCCAAAAATATTTAACATCCCAAAAGTTGTTGTTTCACAAGCTATATTCACATGTTTCATTGAAATAAATTTGGACTCTGTTTTCGTATGTTTAGATACCATGTGAATTTAATGTAATTTGTATGCATGGTTACGTCAAAGGCGTTGGATATTAGTTAGGGATCTATTTATGTTCCCCTATTTATTAAATGAGTTACTTTGTTTGTACATTTGCCGTTTACGACGACATTTGTAATTTTACACATGGCATTTCAGGCGCAAACTGAAGTTGACATCTGGTGCAGCGTCGGCCGAAGCTAACTGAGATGATATATATTCGTGTTTGAGGCTTAATGTGATAGTTGTGTCGGAATATAAGTGTCGTGTTTGAGTTTTCAGGCGTATACATTAGTGATATGCATATTAAGCCATTTTTTTAGAATAAACTCGTATTTGTTAATAAACATTTTGGATACGCTTGATCACGGTTCTTTCTATTCCAGGATAAGCTGTTTCTTTGGTCTCTGGTTTTTCAAAACAGAAACTCCATTGTGCAGGCTGAAGGCAGCTGACTATATGTGTCAAAATCTTAGTTGACAATTATTTTTTAAATGAAAGGAGTAATTATTTAAAGGGCAAATCACGGCCACCCATGGAGTATGTTCAAATTACGTAAACACCCCATTATAATTGGGTAATTACAAGCACCCATTAACCATATATCATCTTACATGTTCACCCTTAAGATGTCAAATTTACCTACTTGATGATGAGTTTTCTCGTATTACAAATAGTTAAAGAGGATAGATTTAATTATCTAAATATGAGAGGTTTTTTCGTAATTTTAGCTAACATCAGGTGCCCTCAATATAAACGAGGACGACTACAATTTATTGAAATTTGCAATTTCCCCATAAACATTTGCCAATGAAATTTAAAATTATTACCTCATAAATCTTCCAGCCCCAAATTGAATTTTTAACTCTTCTTTTCATAAAAACAGCAAATAAAAAAAGTTATTTGTGTTCCAATTACCAAAATAGTACTCAAAAGCGTGCTGCTGCTTCAGCGATTTGTCAACTACCAAAGCGAGTAATAGACAAAATACTCTCTTTCAAATCGGGTAACCAATCACAGGTCAGCTTGAAACAAACATGGGAAACTGTTCGTAAAATACAATTGGGTTTTGTTGCATTAATTTTGGGGACGAAACAATTTTTTAATTTGGGCTTTTTCCATTTCAGATACAGTGCGTTTGGTTGTTTTTTTTCTTATTTTTTCTTTGTGCACTCTAACTGTTCGTTGAAATGTCTATGTGAGCTGAATTTTTAGTGAAAATGATAAATACAGATTCTTCACAGCTTCGGTCACTGCAAAACAAAAGTACAATGGATTGGAATGTTGTGGGAAAACTTTGGGATAAGTGGGCATCAAACAATGTGGGCCATTCAGGTGATCCCGACATTTACGATTCTTTTCGTAGAGTTTTCAACTTCTCGTTCGAATTTATTTGGAGCCTCTGTAGTAGCTGATAGTACATGGTTGCTAATGTTTTCAGGTCAGCCTTTGAAGGCAGCTCTGTTGATGAACTATGATCCAACGGGACCGTCTCGTCTAGTATCCACTGTGTAAGCGAAGTTTATGTTTTTTTTTAATTGTTTTTCGTTGCGGTTGATAAATTTCACATGTTATATTTTTGTATGTAGATGGGGTGATTATTGGTTTGAATGGGATTTAATTATATTCCAGATCATCTATGAATTTTGAATTTAGGATTATTGTGTCAAGATTTAAGCTTTGTCTCGTTACATGTTAACTGTCATCCTCGATCAAAGCAGTCTTCTCTGTTTCTTTCTCCTTTCTGATCAAGAAACCGGTCCTCGGTTTACAGTGTAATGGATTGGTACTAAATAAACTACATGTGATCGGGCTTTTTTTTTAAATTGGTTGTAGTGCAGAGCAAGTCGGGATTAAAGTAGATCCAACTGAAATAAGTCAACTTGTCAGTTTTGTGAAGAGAAATAAACTCCAGACTGAGAGCTTCTTTATCGGCCCAAACGAATGTGAGCTCCGTCGATTTTTATTTTTTTTAGGCAAAGTAGTTCATTCTGACCCGAGAAATAATGTTCGATTATGACAGATCTTGTAACGTCGATTCACGAGAGTTGGTTCTGTGCAAGGTGCATGAACACTTCAAAGCAAGCTGGTGAAGGTGCCATTGTCGTGCAGACGACAGCATTCCTCTTGGTTGGACTGTAAGAATCCCTAATTGTTTTCGCCAAAACTGTTTTTTTTGTTTTCATTAATTAATCTTTTTTTTTGTATTGTTCCGACTTCTTAAGACATTGTTCAATTTCAGAATTTTTTTTTTTTAAAGCTTTTATATGATTGATTTTGGCAGATACGAAGGCTCAATTGGATCGGCATCTAGGGCAATGGTGGCTGTTGATCAATTTGCAGGGCAGTTAGGTCGAAGAAACCTTTGATTTCGTCGAAAAAGATCCGAGTAAGATAGAAAAAGAACGTTTCTTTTAATTAAAGATTTGATTGTTGAACTGTTCTGCTTTTTTGTTTCTGTAAAATCGAAAAATGCGTTCAATTTTCATGTGTTCAAACATAAAACTCGAGTTCAAGCATCAGCTCAAACTTAAAACCCGAACTCAAACTTCTTCGATACATTTAAAAGAAAAAAAACGGACTTGTGCGTGTTGGACAAAGTATCTATGCTATAGAGTCCTTCTGCGGTTGCAAAACGAGGTTATTACAAGTTTTGTCACACGGGTAAGGACAATCAATTGTCTGAAATGGACTTCTGTCGAAAAACCAATCTCCAACAGCTTTTGCAATTGTCTGCAAAAATTAAAAAAATAAGTAAAAATACATATAAATATACGGTAAGTTACGGCCACCCCCTAAGGTAAGGTCGAGTTACGAAAAAAACCCCTAATGTTTGGGTAATTGCAACTAACCCCCTCAACTATGAATCTTGTTACACGTCTACCATTATGGTGTCAAATTCAACAAAATCTTTTAGATTCCGTGGAATGTTCTCTAGTTTGTACTCGTTTTGTGAAAAAATGCAGTTTCTGATGCACCACAATCTGATATTTACAAGTCAAGATACACATCTTTTGATCATCTTGTTTCAAAATGTGGAGTTCGAATGGGGTAAAATGGGTACAAACTGGAGAATATTCCACTAAATTTGACACCGCAAGGGTGGACGTGTAAAAAGATTTATAGTTGAGGGTTGGTTGTAATTACCCAAATAGGAGGGATTTTTTAGTAATTTGACCTTACCTCATGGGGGTGGCCATAATTTACCCTATAAATATATGTTCTCAAGTGCTATTGCATCTCAATGCAAGAAAAACAAAACCGAAAGAAAATTTCAATCGTTGAATATATATATATATATATATATATATATATATATATATATATATATATATATATATATATATATATATATATATATATATATATATATATATATATATAGAAGAAAAGAAAGGAAATAATTAAAGAAAAAAAAAACCTTGTTATTTAATTTGGGAGAGTTGGGTTTAAACCAGGTAATCTGCATTTCAGTTTGGCAGTGTGCAAAGCAAGAGTTGATGAAGTACCCTCTTGTTATTGAGGTCCCTATTGCACTGAATTCATTTAGAAACTCCTTTCGGAATCCTGCAAAAAGTAAACATAAAATAAAATCCCGTTTTCGAATATTCAAATCGAGACTTTAACTGCGATTAATGAACTGCTGATAGAACACTAACCATGCAAGGTTTGGAGTTGAGCGGTGGAGCAGTTTCGTATATCGGTCGTGCAGTTGTACCAGATACCGCTTGGATCCGCAATAGCAGGTGCTAACACATTCTTTATCTGCTTTAATAGGTACGACAAAAAAAAAATACGAGCCGATCAAATAAAATAATCAAGAATGTAATGAAGTATGTTTTCCCTCAATACAAACAGATAGCTCAATTTTAGGAAAAAACATATATAATAAAGATAAAACTGGACCAAAAAAAATCGAAAGAAAAACGACAGATAATTTGAAACGGTGAGTAGATAATATGAATCGGAGAAATTTTTATTTTTTATTCTATTTTTTAATAATATATGCTGACCTGCCATGCATCATAGGCAGCATTTACAATGAACAGGGGTGTCTGAATTTCTTGCACCACCTGTTGAGGGAAAAAGCACTGCAAAAATTTTGTCCATTTATCATCAAACTTAGATAAATTGTATAATGATATTGTAAAATAATAAAAATTTAAAATAAAAAAAAATTAAAAAAAAAATTAAAAATCATGAAAGTGGTTCTAACCAGACCAGGTTTCATTTTTGAGGTGCATGATAAAGGCAAATTCTTTGCTGATCCCTGCAGCCAAGACAAATTAAATAGATTAAAATCCGAGAAAATTAAATAAAAAACGATAAATGATGAACGAGGAAAAAACGAGATGACTTCTTACATGTGTTTCAACGACGTCGTTAATGAAATCTTCAAAACGGCGATTTCCGGAAACATCTTTCCTGTCACAGTTTGATAAATCACTCTTTTGACTATATATATATATATATATATATATATATATATATATATATATAATTAAAAATAAAAATAGCAATATATATATGATTAGAGTGTAATTATTTCATTATTAAACATTAATTAATAATTATCTTACACATTAAGAAAGAAACCAGCATCTGCCATGCACTTGACATTAGTCCCCATTGGAAGAAGATCTTTAAATCTATCACAATGAAGCATTGATGCCAATCCACCAGCTGAACATCCTGTAAGAATAACCTATTTTTTCACGAAATCAAGAACTATTATTAATTAATTAAACTAAATTAAATCGAAGTATTTCGTTTGTTAATTCCGGGAGATGGTAATTATACATTTTTAGCATTCTTCATTCCTTTGTCTAATAGATCCTCCATAACAGCAACGAAGACTCTTGCACCTCTGTAGTAAAGATTTGTAGCCTGATCGAATTCGATAGATTATTCAGAAAAAAAAAAGTATTTACGGGACGAAAAATAGTGCACTACTCGAAAAATGATATTATTGTAAAACCCTTACGATCCAATTTTTTTGGTGATCTACCCCCTAAAAAAAAGAACCGTTTAGGGGGTTGTGTGCTTTAAAAAATGCGTTATAGGGGTTTTTTTGCTAGTATTTATAACATGGGGGGTGTTTTTTAACAATTTGGTATAATATGGGGGGTAATAAATGCAATAAACTCAAAATGCTAAACTTTTGAAAAATAGTGATGGGCCCAATATATGACGTTATGCTGGCTCCGCTACCGAGAGAGATTGTAAAGCTCGTATTTCAATATAAAGTCTCGTGTAGTGACTTACGGGATCCACTGCTTCGATATCTCCGGTGAACGACGCCCCGTCGCAGTATCTAACCACGACGCGGTTCCAATTGTAGAAATCTGAAAATATTGGTTATAGGAATAATGTGATTGGTTAAGGAGATTTTAATCAAGAGTATAGAGATTTTGCAAATTGTGAAAACGAATTAATACCGGGGTTGAACTGCGGGTCGTTGTTAGCAATACCGAAAAACATAGTCCGGTTAGACATGTGCTTCGATGAACCTAAATGGCCGTTTGCACGGGAAATGCAAGTCGTGACGTTGTTGCACCATCCTCCTCCCTAGGTATGAAGCTCGGTTCGAGATCAAGCTCGTTTAGAAAATAAATGAGAAATACAAATTTAAAAGCTCGATAAGAATTCAAACAAGCTTGAGATGTGTTATGCTCGACTCGATTCGTTTACGACCATATATACGTGTTAATCAATTAGGAAATTCAAATTCATACAACTCAACATATTTTATTTTCCTCATATGACTAGATCTTGGAAAATGAAACCGATCAAGATTAGGGCTGGAAATTGGACGAAATCTCTAAATTATGTCGATTTCGATACAAAATATTTCTGATTATGGAACAATATTTTTCATTTTGAATTTGAAGTTCCAAAAAAAATTTGGAACTACAATTCCGAATCCGATTTTAGTGCCCGAAAATTCCAATTCTTTTCTGAAAATTAGACTTCTAATTCAACATTTTCTGATGTTCTTAATTATAATTTATAGGTGACTAAAAAAAATGGAAATTCCGAATTCCGCCGATTAAAATTTCTTGGAACAAATTTTGCCGTTCCAATTTTCGAAATTCTGATACTTTTTCCAAAAATGGATATTTTTTCAACTAAAAAAATATAATTTTTCGGAAAGTACTAGTTTCATGCCAATCAGTCCGATTTCCACCCCTAATCAAACGATCAACCTCAAGACGATTTAAGTAATTACTTAACTATATATATATACATATTACAATGGAACAAAAAAATATCAAGAAGAACAACCTCAAGATGAATTAACCAGTTGTTAGTTCCATCTCCGGATCCCTTGTCGAGATGGTACGCGGGCGGGCTACCATCCAAACAAACTGTCGAAAATCGACGAAATTATTAAGAAATATAAATAATTAATTAAACATGTTTTTTATATAAATAAATTAGTAAATTTTTACCTGCTCCTTTTGCCACAGCACTCTCAACATAAGTAATATCAACATAGCTGCTTTCAGTTCTCAGCACAATTATCATACAAATTATAATGTGCAATAATTCCTGTAATTTTCCATTCATTTTTTTTTTCTTTCTGCCGATTTTCGATTCAAATCATACGAATATAATAATCAATAAATAATTATATTGTAATTATTATTATTATTTTTTAAATAATAATAATATTAGAGCATAATAATGAAAAATGAAATGGCAAACATTCATTCTTACTGCAGTACATATAGGCCTGCACCTGAAAATGGTAACTAGTTCAATAAATTGCATCTGGACAATATTTATTTTTTAATTTAAAAGAATTAAGAGTAAAAATGAATTATTCCATAAATAAAAGGATTTATTTCTTTTTTTGAGAACAGGTTAATGCTGAAAAATGACACTAAAAAAATCATTAAATTTATAATTAACAAACATACAAAAATATATAAATGTTTTAAACGTGCATCTTTTGAATCAAGAACTCGATGAATTAAGTAAATCCCAGTTCGAATTTTCGATATTTCGAGCTAAAATCAAGCTCCACACTCCTTAAAAAAACGATCCATTTTTTCCTAGTATGAAATTCCATTTTCCGTTAAGAATTAACGTCACTGAATTATGAAAGTCGGATCGACTATTCATATCTTTTGCATATAATAAAGGGTAAATTAAGGCCACCCGGGCCCTTAGGTAGGGTCAAATACACAAAACGAGTACAAACTACAGAACATTCCACCGAATGTAGAAAATTAGATTAACAAGGGTGAAAGTGTAAGAAGATTCATAGTTGAGGGAGTGGATGTAATTACACAAACATGAGAGATTTTTTTTGTAATTTGACTTTACCTCGTAATTTGCCCTATAATAAATTCATATAGATATATAATTTTTCTTTTTTGTCTTATAACTATAGTTTTGAAATAAAGAAAGAAAAAAACAACACCACATCAAAGCTGAAAATTTATATTATATTTCATAATGTAGTAAGAATAGACACCCTCAAGCACAGAACAACTTCATTTTGTACTGGTTATACATTATCCTTATTTATAAGCCTTAATAAATAATATTGAACTGTTTTCTTCTGTGTGTGTGTGTGTATATATATATATATATATATATATATATATATATATATATATATATATATATATATATATATATATATATATATATAGTCTATGCTAATGAATTGTCTTGTGGATCGAAAATTCGGTTGTGACAAGTTTTGTCACAAGGGTAAGGGCAATCAATCTTCTCAAACGGACTTCTCTCGTAAAACCAATCTCCTACTGCTTTTGCAATCGTCTGCCAAAAAAAACAAAAAACAAAAACACGATTCTTCGTGTTATTGCATCTCCATAATCGTCGAATGTATAATAAAAAGAAAAGGTATAGTTAGTAAATATTTATAACAACCTTGTTATTTAACATGGGAGAAATGTTGGTGGACCATGTTTCTTGCGTTTCGGTTTGGCAGTGTGCGTAGCAAGAGTTTATGAAGTACCCTTTCGATTTGGCCGACATTAATCCACTCAACGCCTTTAAAAACTCTAATCGGTACTCTGCAAAAAAAAATGCCCAATATTCAAAATAAAATCTCGAGTGTGGCGAAAATATTATACTACTCAAAAAAAAAACATATAGAGTTTTTAAGAAACGGTTGGGGGGCCACGGCCCCCCTTAATACCTTGCATGGTTTGAAGTTGAGTGGTGGAGCATTTTTTTATATCAGTTTTGCAGTTGTGCCACAGACCATGTGGATCAGCTACTCCAGGTGCCAATATATTCTTAATCTAGTACAATCAAACATTAAAATCAATCAAATAAATCAATAACCGACGATTTTAATTTTTTATTTATATGTTTCGGCTAAATAATTCAGTAAACATCGAACAAAAATATGTGCTGACCTGCCATGAATCGTAGGCGGCATTTACAACGAAAATTGGCGTCTGAATTGCTTGTACCATGTTTTCCGGGAAAAAGCACTGCAAATTTTTTTTTAATTTTTTTCGAAAAAATATATATATCAACATGCGAAAAATTCTGTATGTATAAATTATAATCGCAAGAAAAAATCATCGATTAATGGAAGTTTGTACTAACCAGACTCGGTTTCATTTTCGAGGTGCATGATTGGGCCAAATGCTTTGCTGATCCCTGCATGCAGAGAAAGATAAGTACTTTCTTGGAATCTTGTTCGACTTTTCGAATATCTTAAATTAAATTATTAAAATTTTTTTTGTAAAGAAACGATTTAAGAAATTGCGACATATTACGTGTGTAGTAACAACATCGTTGTAGAACTGTTCGATATGCTGAGCTCCAGAAACATCCTTCCTGTTACAAAGATAATTCAAAACCAATTAAACTGAAAATAACTACCGAGTGTAAGTATAAGGCCTCGTTTGGCTGTTAAGATAAGATGAGCCAAAATAAGATTATGCAATCTTATTACGACCCAATTGTATGTCTAGTTGGATCATAGCTAGGGCTCGATATAAAAGTAACCAAACAAAAAATAATACTGAATTATCATAACCAGCCAAACGAGGCATAAGGGTGTAAGATTATCGATAAAACCAAAAAAAAAAAAAAAAAAAAAAACGCTTACGCATTAATGAAAAAACCGGCATCGGCAAAGCACTTTACGTTTGTGCTTATTGGAAGAAGAGATTTGAATCTATCACAGTTAAGAATTGATGTCAATCCACCCGCCGAACATCCGGATAAAATAGCCTACAAAATAAAAATCGGAGTTATTTCGCGAAAAATATAAATAAAATAATTTTTAAAAAATGAAGAAAAAAAAATCATACATTTTCAGCATTCTTCATTCCTTTTGCTAATAGATCCTCGATAACAGCGACAAATACCCTCGCTCCTCTGTAGTAAAGTTTAGTAGCCTGATCAAATTCAACATAAATTAATCAGAAATTTTCGAAATTTACTAATTAATTAGTTTTTAATTATAAAAATTAATTTCGAGAAGTGACTTACAGGATCAACTGCTTCAACGTCGCCGGTAAACGACGCCCCGTCGCAGTATCTAACCTTGAGCCGATTCCAATTATAGAAATCTGGGTGAATATTTTTTTTTGTAAATATATAAAGATTATATAGAATAAAAAGTTGATCTAGTTAAATGAAAAATAAAAATCAGAAGCATATGAAATTAATTTACCAGGGTTAAATTGGGGCTTATTGCTAAAAATCCCGGAAAAAGCAATCTGTTTAGCCATTTGCTTCGACGAACCTAATCGGCCGTTTCTTCGAGCTAAGCAAGTCGTGGCATTGTTGCACCACCCTCCTCCCTATTTTCCGACATTATTAAACAAACGAACAATTAAATCATGAATTAATAATTAAATCAAGCATGTTCATCCTAAAAATCACAAGAATAGTGGCGAATTCTCGACTTCATAAACATTTTATGCAGTGTAATAAATAAATTATTTATAATTAAGACAGTGTGACTAAAAAACCAACCTCAATATGAACTAACCAATTGTTAATTCCAGCTCCAGATCCTTTATCGAAATGATACGCCGGTGCACTCCCATCTAAACAAACTGCACCAAAAAAATAAAATAAAATAAAATAAAAATTGAACTATACACAATTTTCAAAATTAAACTAAATAAAAGAATAAAAAAAATAATTTATTAAAATTGAGTTTAAATTAATTTAATTAATCACCTGCTCCTTTAGCCACAGCACTCTCAACATATGTAATATCAACAAAGAAGCTTTCACCTCTCCCCACAATAATCACCATATAAATCAGTAATATTATTCCATTCATTTTTCTGCACCATTATCAATTTAAAATTAACTATTTATACATTAAAATAATCAATAAATAAATAAATAAATAAAGCTTAAAATTTCAAGAAACAGAGTAAATAACAGTTCAAATAAAAAATAAAAAAATTAAATTGATTTAAACATGTACCTTGAATGGAGAACTCGATGCTCTAAGCAAAACACAGTTCAAGATTTATAAATATTTAAACAACCCAGAAAATAAAATTAAAATAAAATTAAAATTAAATAAAATTTAGGATGGTTTAACTGTAATAACAGCTTTTGAAGAAGAAAGCTTGTTCTATATATAATATAATAAAATAATATGGGAAGTGAAATCCCAAGAGGTGACCGACACTTATTCTTGTTGGGTTTATTTATATATAGTTTTATTTTTCTTTAACGGGTTTCTGTGTCGTGACCCGACCCGACCCGTTTATCGAACCGAATCTTATCGGTTCACGCGCTCTGCATTAATTAATGAGTTAACATGGAAGATGATTACACGTATAATAATTGACATGCAACACTTTAGTCTAATTTTTCTGATTATAGTTATATACGTATGTACCTATATTTATGTATAAAAAAAATTATGTAATTATTTAAATTATCTTAATGGCAAAATCTAGATGTGGATTATGATTTGAAGAATTGGAATTAAAACGACATATATTGATGTAATCATAGTAATTAGATTACAATTTAAGACTTTTAAGTATCCAATTGTTTAAAACAAATAGTTAATATTTTTTTTTGGTTTTTGGCCAAAAATATTCTTTTATTATTACTAGATGAAAATATAAAGGAGCCTCGTTAATTAACTGTCGTTTTAGAAAATTAAAATGCTTAATATCGTTTCAATTTTATTGGTACCCTTTCAGTTTCATAGCATGCGTTTTTAACTCTCTCTTTTTTAGTTCGGATTTGTTGCTATTAAAAACACCACATTTGTAGTCGGTTGTTAAATAAAAATTCCATCCTATTTTGTCAAATTATTTTTTTAAGAAATTATGCAACAAGATTAATTATTTTGGAGAGTATCACACGAAGAGTTTTAGTGGAATCTTCTACATATGTGTAATATTCTCCAATTTGTACCTGTTTTATCCTATTTGAACTCTATATTTTGAAACAAGGTAATTCATAAGATGTGTCTATTGACTTTTAAATATCAGACTGTAGTGCATCAGAAACTGTATTTTTGCACAAGACGAGTACAAATTAGAGAACATTCCATGGAATCTAGAAAATTATGTTGAATTTGACATCATAAGGGTGGACGTGTAAGAAAACTCATAGTTGAAGGTTTGTCGTAATTACTTAAACATGAAGAGTTTTTTCGTAATTTGACCATAGATCAGGGTTCCATAATTTTCTAATATAAAATGGAAAAAAAAAACATATATATATATCTCTAAAAGGTGGGGGCCTAGCCTAGATCGCCGCCCTTGCTCTGTGTGTGAATGCGTAGCATATTGAATCTTGTCTCAACTACTTGATCTAGATTTAATATATTATATTTATTTCTCTAATCATTATTTAATTAAATTAAATTAGATTCCTAAGTATTAGTCACATGCATTTGTGTGTATATATATACTTTGCATGGGAAAAGAATGATTTTAATGATGACGTGGATATATTGACGGTGGTTTATTTAAGGTTGGTGGTGGTGGTGGTGGTGCCGCCTAACGCAATGTCTATTCTTCCACCTGTATTTCCACTAATTTTAAAACCCACCCTTATCATTTTCCTATTTAATCCGAGAGACTATTTTTTTAAATTTATTATGTTATTGATTAATTATAATTTTTATTATTATTTATATATTTATAAACAAAATGAACTGATTATTGAAATTGAAAAGTCAAAAGTGTATATAGAGAGTTGAACCCAGCTGGAGCTGGTGGGGTGTGGGTGGTTGAAATATTTAATGCTATATACCAAATTATTATTAGTGTGACATTTTGAATTGAAACGCCACTTTAATTTAAGGGGTCATTAGCAGTACACCCTCCTATAGATAAAAAATAGTGATATGTCCATATCATAATTCTTCCTTTGAGAAAACCCCCTAGAATATTTATTTCCAATCTTACCCTTATCCTACCCAATACCCATTACGTATTTTTATTAATTAACCACTATTTGCAAAATTCCTATTAATAAGGCACCAAAATTCCGCTAATTAGGATTAATTAGTCTAATTTATCTCAATTATTCCTTTTTTTTCTCTTTCCATAACAATAATTTAATTCCTATAAATCAGCTTCTACATTCCTAAAAAAATGCTACCAAATAAATAAAAAAAGGTATTTTCGGATTTTATTTTTTATTTTTAATTTTATATTATTTTCGGAATTTATTTAGCGATTTTTTATTTTTATTTTTTTTTTAATATTTTTTAATAAAAAATTTATTTAAAGTTTTTTAAATTTTTTTTTGAAACAAAAAATTGAAATTTTTTTCTCGACAGGTTTGCAACGCCGAATATGACTATACTTGAATATGACTATATGTGATTATAAACTGTAGTCATATTCTTTCTTTATATTGTTGCATTTTTACATTTTGAACTTAAAAATTTCCGATTAAATGGCATAGTCATGTTTACCAAATCATATAAAACAACGAAGATTCCCTATTATTTACGAAAACAATTCAATCAACAGTCAACTTGAATAGTCATATTCGAAAAATACATTAAATATGACTATAGTCATGTTACTACTGTTCTTCAGATCTGGAAAAAAAAATCGAAAAATATATAAATAAAGATAGAAAAATAACGATACAGAGGGATGGGAGTCGACGAGGTCTTCATACACAAAATCACCCTGGCATATCTTCACCCCAAACGACCCTCCATACTTCAACAGAATCATCAAGGTTGACGACATGATGTGCAGCACTACAAAAAAATATGAGAATGTGACTACAATGTGACTACCAAATTGTAATACTTTCACAATTTATATCCGGAGCTAGGGGCACCAAATTCAATCTCCTCCGTACAATATATAAAAATATATACTCTGAATACTCTATTCAAATTTCGGCCACATCCAACGGTGCAGTTGTACAAAAAACGCGTCCAATCTAGCTGCTAGGAATTATTCAGTAACAAAAACCAGCAGCGAGTTTTAAGATCCGACCTATATTTAGAGACGTCTGATTCCGATCTCCACCGTTCATAAGTTATATTTATGTGTTACGAATCATGTGTAAAAATATCAACCCGATCCGATGGTTAGATCTTCCGATCTGGCCTCTGCACGAAAATTGTTGCATCTCAAAAACTTGATTTTTCTCCTCTTTTTTCGTTCGCTCTTCGGAAGGAGAATCAAATCCGGCGCCGGTGCCGTGTGCGGGTAAGTGGTGTCCATTGGCGAGTGGTGGAGGATTATGGGCTGAAGAAGAAAAAAAAAAAAAAAAAAAAAAAAAGTTGCGTGAGAAAGAGAGAGAGAATGAAAGAGGGATATATGGAGAGAATTAATGTAATCCTATAATCACGTGAGACGGTTATGGAAAATAAATATTGCAATTATTTTAAAAACTTCTGATAAGGGTAGTTTCGTCTTATCACAGTTGTTGATGGGGGTTTCACTAATTAAGATTGGACTTTGGGTGTGGGCAAAAGTCTTAAAAGTCAAATGGGTTTAACTCATAATATTTATGGTTTGAGGGGGGTTTTGCATATTTCCCCTTAATTTAATTAGCTGTCTTCATTTTGCAAATTGTGTTTATTGTTAAAATATTCCATCTGTTTCATAATAACTGTCTATTTTTTAAAATATTTTTGTTCCATATTATCTGTCACTTTACATTTTCAATACTGCATTAAATGCATTTTTTCCTATTTTAACCTTATTAATTCAACTATAAATATTAACTCTCTCTTATCACATCATTAAATAATCAAGGTTATTTTAGTCTTTCTAATGTATTTTACCTAAAATCAAGACACATTTATTGAGTTTCTTAATACTTGTGCAAAACCAAAAACGACAGTTAATAGGGAACGGAGAGAGTATTAAATAATTTTCAATATATACCAATTTACAAATTCCGAGGGGAGTATTAGTTTATAAATTCATGAGATGCTCTTCCTAAATAGATAAAATCAAAGGGAACAATAATTTTACATCACTATATTGGTCACAAGCAATGTAAGTTGATCATATACAGTGGCGGATTTACTAAGGGGCGGGGGGCCGCCCCCAGAAAAAAATATTCCAACTTTTTTTATTGCTTTTTGAGATACTATTATACAAATATGTGTTTTTGCCCCTCTTATTTTTATTTTCTTCTCTATTGTTTTATGTAATTTTAGATATTCTTTCTCTATTTGTTATTACAATATAAAATACAACTACTAAAATATATATTTTGTACTTCAAAATTATAAATATATACTTATTTTAGCAATATTTTGTGAATAACCCAAAAAAAAAAAATTCGGGGCGCTGCACCTGAAATCCCCAAAATTATAACATCCCTTTGGATATATTTTTTCCTAAAAAAATTGCACCCCTTAAAATGTTGTCTAGATCCGCCACTGATCACATATTATTGATCTACCAAGGGGTAAGCATTCGGATCAGGTTATTTGTGTTGTGACCTGACCTGGTCGGGTTTTATCCGGCCGGATCGGGTAATTCTCAAGTCTATCGGATTTTGCCAGGTTTGGAAACTCGGTGTTCTTAAATCGGGTGGGGTCCGGGTTTTAGTATTCCTAACCGGGTAACCGATTAGGTACCCGACTAAAAAAAAGAAACTAAACTATATAGCCCACTTTTACCCAAGTCCAACCCAATTTCCAGCTCATCTAATGTTATGTTATTAATATATTTTTTTTATTTATTTATTATCGGGTTCCATCCGAAACATTTCATTTTGGGCTTCCAATTCTTGTTTTTATATTACAACAATTTGTTTAGTAGTTCAAGTTTTTAGATTGACACCTATTTTTTATAATAAATGAACGGCTTTGTAATAGGTTATAGTCGAATAACAATATTTTTATTGAATATTGGTGCCGGAAGAGAAAAAAAAACCCGACCCAAGCCGGTTATTTTGAGTCGGGTTCGAGTAATGATTTGTATGTCAAAAACTCGAATAACCCGATTCGAATGCCCACCACAATATCTACCCGTGATATCTTTTAATGAATAAAGTACGAAACCATTATTATCATAAAAATAAAATAAAATAAAGTACTGTTATGAATTTTAGAAGGTGTGGATGACCACCATTACTCACCATCATCAAGCACCATCACTCCCACCATTATCAAACCATAATACCTATTGATGATCCCATTATGGCCTTGTAACTAATGACCTTTGAGATGCCATTATGTA